TTTTTTTAACACAAGATCATCCTAAGTGAAACTTTTTTATTAGATTTGTATATTTTTATTATTAAGATTTTCAAACCATTTTAACTATGAATTTTGTTTCTTGTATTGTATATTATACACGTAATTCAGTCTTCGGACTGCGAGGTGTTTCTTTTTAATAAACGATTTATCTATCTATCTATCTATCTATCTACTTGATTCCTCGACTGGAGCGAGTTGACCGTTTGTTCTGCTGCACGTATTGTGATCTACAACAGGAAGTTTTGCTTGCTGCAGGGCGTTTGCGGCTGGGCCACCTCCAATGATCCCTCTTCATCCTGGTAATAAGGATAATACGGTCTTGAAGAAACCAGCCATCAAGTGTTGGCTGAATTTTTAAAATTTGGAAAATCATGCCACAATCATCATTTTCCGACTAAGTTCTATTTCATTTTAGCGTCTGATTAGAAATTGACTCTTTCTGAGCCTTACCGTTCTATCGATGTTTCACAACATATAGATATTTTAGGATTCCCCCCGACCCCTTCTCCCAAAAATGTTCAAACATTTGGAATTTTCAGAAATCCAAGGTGCTATGGTATCGTCATGAAAGCAGAATTACTGTGAAGAGTTTTGACTTGAACAAAGAGGTCAGAGTCTGCCTCTCTGCATAGTAGAAAACGAGGAATATTTTCTCATCAATGAATATATTAAATTAACAACTATGAAGTTGACAAATACTTATACCACAGAAAAAGACTTTTATAGCCTGAAATCAAGCTTACCAGTGATAAAACACTCAGTTCCAGCAAGAATTCTACTTCCTTTAGTTGGCAAACAAACCAAGTTGACTTTGTTGCTGAGTGTAACTTCGCCATCCAGTTGTAGCAGGGCAATGTCTTTCTTTAGATGTCTCATCGAGAATCCTTCGTGTTTGAAAAGCTTTTTCAAATTGAATGTTTGTTGAACAGCTGTGGTCCAAGCTCTGATGTGGGCCCCTACATAGTGAAATATATTAGTGACTAATCGCTACCCTTGGCAGGGGGGCGGGAAGGATTATGGGGTGATCACATGGTTTTCAGGGGGAGAGGCTGGGGAACAGTCGTCGCTAGCTGAGTATAAAGGGGACTATACAGAGTTAACTGTCAGAGGGGAGTCGAACGAATACTACAGAGCCTTGAGGGGGGATCAGGTTAATGTTATCGTGTCAAAATCAAAATCCTAGGACCTCCCCCCTCCCCCAGGCGACAGATAATGGCTGGTTCCTCAGGAGTGTGAATGACAAACTTGCTTTATACGAGTGAAAGATTCAAGGAATCGAGTAAATTTTTTCCGCAATTGATAATGAGTGCTATTTTCGCATTTCAAGAGGCCTAGCAGTGATAATTCATCATTCGACATGTGCACCTACCAACGACCACTGTGTACCCTCTGGGATCTAGATTCCTTTCTACGCAATGGCCAGCAGTAACAACCCAGTAGCACTTGATCAGAGACCCTCCGCAGATGTGTCGTCCATTAACTCTGAGAGAAATCTGCTAGGGCTATGAATGTGGCGCAGCATCTTCCCCGTTAACCACACGGGCACCGGGCGGACGAGAACCGCACCCTGAAATTAATCAGTACTTGTAGATTACATTTTATGAAGCCAACAAACAAACAAAACGACAACATACCTAACTTAAGATTCATGAGGATCTAAATGAAAGTTATCTCCGAGCTAAGGATGTAACTAGTCACTGACAAGATATCCTGACGTGGATCGAGAGAGAAATGATTTGCATTGTTTTGTAATTCTTTTTTTTCGTAAAAATGGAAATGCTTCCTGTCATCTTCAAACAGAGATATTGACATGGTTACCTATTACTCTTACATGTAATTGTCAGCGAGTACGGACAAAAAAATCCCCTCTTAGTTACACAGTGCCTTTCGTATATCGATTTTGTTTTATGCTTCGGTTTAGCATGTGTAAACTTACAATAAAAAAATAAAAAGGAAGGGGAATTGAAAAATGAAAAAATCTATGAAATTTATCCTACCTTCAGTAAGAGCGGGCATACAAATGGCTACAACAGCGATGAAAACCGACATCATAATAGCGGTACTCTATCCAAAGTAGAAAGTGAGGTATGACATTAAGCCTTTACTTTTATAAGAAAGGTATTTTTTCCGCTGACAGATGCATAGCATCGGCCTCTCTTTATTTTCCACTGTCATTTTGAAATAGTTATCTTTTTTATTCACAGCTTATTTTTTCTCTGAAATGGTCCTTTTAAGAAACAAGTGCTCTGCAATTATCCATTTAAACTGCAGCTTTATTGATTGTTGACAAAAACGATATGAATTGGATATTTTTTTAATAAATTCCTCGACTGATGACATACTAGTGTTAATCATGTGAATTGAAGCAAAGTTTCATCTGCTGGCAATGTTGATAGGTTTCTGGCTGCAAATGCGATGTAGAGATTATTGATTAACCTTCTTATATTTCATTGTATCTGATTTATCACTTTCACGGGTTTATTACGAATCAACTTAACGGCCTGCTCCCAGTTGGCTTGTTAGCTCAATTGGTAGAGCGCTGCACTAGTATTGCAGAGGTCAGTGGTTCGAATCCCGTACAGGCCTGATTTTTTTTCAGGTCTGATTTTCGCTATTGCTTAAATAGCGCTATCTACTGCGAGGATCGTGCATCATACGTATCTAATACCGCAGTTCAAAATATATGAATTTCATATATTTCGTTGTATCTGATTTTAATTGAGTTGTTCAAGGTGAAATTTCAGATGGAAACTTGCATTAAAGACCATTAATTTATCGGAAACATTTCAAACAAAATGATGAAAAGGTACTCTCAATCCCTTTCTCAGCTTTATATTCCCTCTTTGCTATTTCTAATACAAATCACATGTCTTTGCCTCTCTGTAAGATTTCTTGAGATATCGACGGTCACCAAGCTTTCTTTACGTCACACCTGCCGGAAAATAATAGCGTATACAGAGGAAGTGCTGTCAAGCTTTATCATCCTTTTTCTTTTAAGGTTACCACTAAACAATTATTTTAGTCTAATTTTGAGGGCCGACTCCTCTTTCGATTTAACTTAATTCAGAATTAAAAGCAAAAAATTCACAACAAAGAAAAGGAAAAAAAGGTGAACTGTTTGGAATATTTACCTTGGGCACTTCTTTCGAGGAATGTGATTTTTTAGAAAATGAACTAGCATTTGAACCCTGGCAAAGCCAGAGAAAACGAATAAGATTGTATACTCTGCAGGACTTTTGCTAAAGGTTTATCTGAAAGGCCTCTCCACTTAGACAGGAATTTCAAAAAACAAAGATTACACTCAATCCCTCGAAATTTTATTAACCTTACTAAGAAAATATACTAACCGCATCCACCGCTGCTGTCACCTGCAGATTGGTTGAAAAAAAAAGGAGAGTAAATCAGTGAGCACATAAAGACTCGAATACAGTTTGAAATGATAACATCGGACAAAATCAAAATGAAATTGATACACATTCAAAAAATGCGATTGCTCGTAGAAATTAACATTTTAGCAAAACCTGCTGACCCATTGTGCAATTACGGTAAATTATATCGAGTGCATTTGAGAGAAAAATAGCTGGCCAGCTATAAGCCCTCTGACTACGTTCTAACAAGGTTCTGGGAAGAAAGAATAGATATGACTTGGTTTGTTTCTAAACTTTCTGAAGTACTTGGGCTAAAAAAAAGACAAAGGAATGAAATGATTGAAATTTGTTATTTTTCTGAGTGAGGTTAAACCTCGTACAAACATTTACTCACCCTTAAGTTTTGCATCAATCCAGTCCCTGAAAGAGCTTATTCGCGCAAAGACAGTAAATAAATCAGTTCTGCACATGCGATGACCCCAGCTCACATCACCACGCAAAACCCATTTACCACTTTCCTCGCATACGTATGGTCCATCGCTATCACCTTGAGAACCACCTGCCTCTCCTGGTTTACCACTCCCTGCACAGATCATGGATTTCTTGTCAATTGGTGCCCCTAATCTACCCCACCTTTTGGAACATCGATTGCGGCTCTGTACGGGAAGCATTGCCTGTTGCAAGGTGTCTGCGATATTGCCTCCACCTTCAGTCATACCCCATTCTGAATGAAAGAATTTAGGTAGAGAATTTCAAAAGCTGTCACTGCCAAGTGTTATCTCTCCCACCCTTTGCATCGCCAGATTGTTAATAACTGTTATGTAGCACCGGTGGCCAGCTGAGATTTCAGATCCTTGGACAGGAAGGCAGACGGGATTGACTTTGTCGCTCAGCTTGGCCGGTTGGCTTAGGTGGAGAAGAGCGATGTCATTTTTTAGATGTTGCATACTGAAGTCCTCGTAGGAAAAGAGCGCTCTCACTTTAATTGTCTGCTGCACATCTGGAGTGCCGAGACGTTTGTGTGCACCTGGAGAGGTTTCAAATGTACAACAATGTGGTTCAACATACGTGCAAAGAAGACAATAAATACCATTGATAGCTCACAAGGGAATGACATTACTCTCTTTTAGCCCAACTCTCGTGGAAAATGAATTTCACATCCCGAACTCGTTCAGCAGTTACAACCTTTTTGACAAGTTTTCGTTTTAAATTGTACCTTTATTTTCCTTATTTAGAACAGTTTCATAACTTTATAGATTAACTTACCCTTGCCTCCTGAAATTAAAAAAATGGTAACATCTCATCCGATGGTGAACCTGCGCTTAACCTTACCGACAATAACGGTGTAAAATGAGGGATTCCGGGGAATATCATCCTGGTCCACCACACAGTGCTCTGCCGTCACAACCCATTCGTCTCTGATCAAGGAACCGCCGCAGATGTGCAACAGCCTTCCATCTTGACTGAGAACTCGCAGGGACAACTGCCAGGGCCACGAGTGCCTCGGTGCATCCTCCCCACCCGCGACTCGAGAGAGAAAGCTGCGTTTTCCGCACCCTGGAGAAACGAAGACTTGAATATTAATAGATCACGAGGAAATGCAGAAGTGCAACCAAGTCTTCTCCATATGGAACCCAACTAAAAAAATGCGAAAAGATTGGAATATGACTTGCCACTTTTGACTAAAAACTTGTAATTTGAGAAAGTACTAGTTGTACGAGAAGAGCCGCTACAACTACATGATCATATGTGTTGCAATTGCAAGGTGTCCAAACCATGGCGGAGTCTAAGAATATTATCTAATAACTTTGATAATAACAATAATAAATACAGTTGAATAAACTAGGCACCTGCATGATCTTGGCTTGTCTTACATTGAGACGGATCCAATTGTCTCTGTACACAAATGCAAATTTTAGGCCAGGTACATTGCGACTGAGACCTTACTCTGCTCGTGTCATCTTTTGACTGTAGATTTTTTCAATCGTCTCCCAACCAAACTCCACTCCATCAAGTGTCAGTTTCTTTAAACCCTTGGTTCTGGAACTGTATAAAGCTGCTATCATGTTTTTAACTGTTAAAAAAAGTATGAAGAACAAAGAGATATTTCTTTAACCAAAGTTACCAGGTGCTAATACTAGTTAGCACATAATTTAACAAAGATCTACCAGAAACAACACGCTATTACTACCTGATGACTCGGGCAGATTATTGCAAACACTGGACTGCCACTGGAATCCTCAGGATTGGCAAATGAAATGTCAACAAAATACCTCGCCCTTAAATCTTCTGCGGCATCATTCACAAGCAGTATAGCTCTAGGGCAGCCACACAACATCTTCAGAAGTGTTAGGTTTGATGAAGCTCCATCCCACAGGACTATGGAAACCCGACAGCCATATGCATGGAATGATTTAAGACACAACATAAAGAACTGCTGTAAGATGTTTGCATACATTGATTTTGGTACAGGGAAAAGGGGGCCAATCAAGTCAAAACCTGATGTCAGATCACACCAAAGAAACTGTACAATATAACTGGCCTTCTGACAACCACTCTGGATGACAGACGAAAACACATCATGCAGTACAGGCAGCTCATCTTCTACCATAGTAAAGCTTGTTATTCCACCACCTTTCAGACTCCATGGTACTTTCATGTGGATCTGAAAGGTAAATCCAGACATCGTACAGCTTAGATAAATATCAGCATATAAAATGAGACTTTGGTTTACAGTACTGAGATAATTTAGTTTACCTAACATATAATGCCAGGCATAAAAACTTACAAATCCAAATATAAAACCAATTCTTCTCTCTTACCTTCACCTCATCTCACATCAATTCTCCCATTCCCAGAGGGCGGGAATGACCAGCACTTTCACGATTCTCTTTTCCTTAAACTTCTCCTCCTGACTTTGAAAGTAACGATGATCAATACCAGGCTGCTCAGCACCATCCTTCCAAACCCTTTTTAACACCTGAGTGCAGGGAAGCTGAAGGATACTTAGGCTGTACAATGCTTCATAAGCAGATGGGCTATGGTTATATACTGCAAGAGCTTGAACAGTACAAATTAAATAAAATAGTTAGCGTCATGGCAGATATTTATTCCATTTTATATGAAGATGGTGATACAGTATCTATTTACTATTTAATTCTTACTGTATCACCAGACTGAGTAATAAGAAATGACAGTTTTTGAAAGAGACATGTTTAAATTACGTGTGTCTAACCTGGCATTCAAAACATATTTGTCTATAGTAATTAAATATTATTTCAACTGAAACACTAAAGAATCAGTTTGAAAATCTATGGCAGCATATAATTTTATGCATTTTACAAACTTTTGACCACTGCAATGGCACTGAACTTATATTTACCAATTCTGATTGTGGCCAAGGATCATCTGTTTCACTTTTTTCCAATCACTGCAAATAGGGAACCGATAATAAACACTGTCTTTTAAGAACAAGATCTTTCACAGCTATAAAGAAATAATTATATAGCAGCATGAGCTAAATGAATAGAGGGTGTTGAATTATGCACCTAAAAGCTACAAGTTTGGAATTAAATACAGTAAGGCTGGCATGCATTACCGGTAATTCAGTCGGCTCCTGGATCAAGGGACAAAAAAAAAAGAAACAAAATCAACCAAAAAAATTAACAACATGAAATGCATGCACAAACATATCACTGTATAATTTTCAATCCTTACCATTATTTCGTTGATCCTTGAAAAAGCCTTCCCTGTCTCGCTTCCACACTTCTTCGATGCAATCCCCAGCCTTCAGAACATTTTTCCTTTCAAATTTGTTACCCTCTCCTATGATTTTATCCAGCTCGGCTTTACCCTCCTCAGAACTTTCGATTGCTTGTATGAGTTGGCAGAGGTCATTGGACTTATTCGCTGGAAGCTCGACCTTTGATTTTTTTGTAAAATCGCACTGCCTGCTTCTGAAGCCTGGTTTGTTGCCGGCGAACTTTTCTGGCGTGCTTCCTTTTACTGCTAGGAGAAAGGAATTTCCAAGGACAGTGGCTACTTGGCATTTGGTGCGAACTCTTAGTTGCTGCATCAACGCTCTTTTTCGCCTTCGTTCCCTTCTTTACTAGCCTGCGTGGCGGCCCTAGAGGGAGGGGGGAAGGGGGTGGGGAGCCGGGTGGAGAGAGACTTGGGGAGAGGAAAGGAAGGAAAGGAAGGGCCTGCTACGAGAGGCCCGCATTCCACATAACTACATTCATCTCGTGAACGTAAAATTCCCATCAGTCAATCGCCTGTCAATCAAACTGTGGCATTGTTTTTCGAGTGAAGGTGTGAAATCTTCGAGCCTCGGTCAATAGTTACAGTTTATACAGTTTATACACCAAATCTTTTTTTAAAATCATAGTTAAAATGTAATACTTTCAGGACGAATTTCGATACCGTAATTTCTGAAGTTTGCGCAAGCAAACTGAATGATGTTCAACTTAAAAATGAACAAAAACTTGCAGTGGAATCCATTCTTGAACGCAAGGATGTACTCGCAGGCTAACTTTAATGAGGATACGTTGAAAAACATCCTAGAGCAACGCGGAATCAATCTGGAAAACGAACAGCGCCAAGCTTTGGAACAGCTCTACGTAAAAGGATCTTGTAGCTATTTTGCCGACTGGGTTAGGAAAAAGTTTAATTTTCCAAGCTCTAGGGTTGCTTGCACGCTTCGAGGCCAACGACGATAAACGGCCCGTTGTGTTAGTTATAACTCCACTTACAAGCATCAAACAAGATCAAATACTCGAACTTGGATCTCTTAGTTTACAAGAAAAAATTGCATCCGTTTGAACGGCTTCGGTCATCCGTTCGTCGAAATCATTAGCCTGTTCGAACGGCTTGGTCACCCGTTCGTCGAAAACGTGCCATAGAAAACCTCAGCCCGTTCGAAAGGCTTGGTCACCCGCTCGTTGAAAACATTAACCCGTTCGAACGGCTTGGTCATCTGTTTGTTGAAAAACATCAGTCCGTTCGAACGACTTGGACTATTTTCCGTCGAACGACTTGAATCATCTGTTTGGAAGGTTCATACTAGTAACGCCACCCGTTTATTGAAAATAAATTCTTACGTTCGAGCGGCATCAGTCATCTGTGCTAATGTTTACAAGATTTGTCTAACTTCATTCGCTCGAGTTCCCTCTCAACCGAAGATGGACACGAAGCCCTGTATCTTTCAGAAACTGACAAAGAGATCAGGAAAACCTTGACCTAAAAATCGAGGTGTGGAAAGAAGAAGATTCCCCCCGAAAAGTTATTTAGGGCCTTCCTGATCAGCCAATTCACCTTCTGAACTGTCTAAACCATTTATTATTTGACTTAATCATTCCATCTAGGCCGAGTTACTCATCTGTGTTTTAACAACATATTTTCAAATTAAACATACCGTCTTACAGGTTACAATTACATAC